CGTTCGTTGATATAGCGTTTGTTATAGAGCGAATGTTGAAAATAAGTATATCGTAAAGTTGTATTCGGAAAGAATAAACCAGTTTTATTAAGTAAGGACTTGTGTCGCTAAAGTTTCGTCGGAACGAATTTACGGAAAATCAATTAACAAACGGAGACGTAACAGTATTAAACTCTACAAAGATTTTGTGTTTTAAATGTATTATTTTTTTAATGATGAAAAATCTACTTTGAGGCAATTAAGATTGAAGACGGCCTGAATGGTCGATAAAGGCATTTTTGTTAAAAGTTTCGACAAGGTTTTAGTCATCATCTTCTACATGATGATGACAAAAAACCTCGTCGAAACGTTTTATTCGTTACTCATTCAAGCCGTCTTAACGTTTTATGTTAAAGGTTTCTGGTTCTTTTTTTTTTTAGGGCTGGAGAAAACAAAACTCTTCTCTCGAGTGGCCTTTCTGAATTTTGGAAAATACAAGAAAAATTTCTGAAGAGCATCACGTCTACGTTGACTGTTACACAGGTGAATTATGTTACACAGGTGTTATCGCGAGTTGACAGATATGACTTTCTTTTGCGGTTAGTATAACGTACGTCTACTTACTTCCAAAAGCAAAGGGCAACTCTTTAAGATAGATGGATAGATAAAAAGGCACGAGATAACAGAGCATAAGAAGTCCTGAAACAAAATAAAACATTTCTACCGATACGCTGTTGCTTGTTTACTTCAAAACTGACGATTTGGAACATTTATTAATCAGAAAAATTTGTTTTGTCAAATTTCTCATTGTAACGCCTCCTGATGGAATATTTATAAACTAACGATATTTAATTTGCTATAATTATTAGTTACGTGTCTGCAAATGTTTAGGATTCTCGTGCCTCAGTCGTACGTAACGAGAAAAACCATAATTTAAGGATATTTTTCATTCATCCCTCTAGTATGGGACCGGGTGTGGCCTAGTGGTTAAACTATGGATTCGGTGGTCTGTATTTCTTGCCACAAAAACGCACTCCATATTTTGCGACTACGGATGTATTATAAGGTATGACATTCAAATCCAACCACTGGATTAAAATAGCCAAATAATGCCCCCCCACCTCCAGCGGTATGTCTGCGGACTTACAACGCTAGAATCCGGGTTTCGATACCCATGGTGAGAAGAGCACAGATAGCCCATTGTGTAGCTTTGTGCTTAATTACAAACAACAACAATAGCCAAATAATTGCCGGTGGATGCTGTTAACTGACTAACTAACTAACTACATTACAGTCTTTCAATTCCAAAATATCCAGCTAGAGCAGACAACCCTTACGTAGGTTCGGGTGAATGTTCGAACCAAAACAAACTAGTAAGTTTAGTACGAGAGAAATTTAAAGAAAAGGAACCAAAGATGGACACGTGTGCACAGCGATTTGGTCGGTTACGTAATTTCTATTCACTATCTGAAAAGCAATATTTGCGATGCATAGTCCGAAAACGGCCAGGTCAGCAGGGAGCCCAATGTCCAGGCATAGTCATCCCTAATTTAGCAATGCTGACAAGAGGGAAGGCCAATGTCCAGGCATAGTCATCCATAATTTAGCAATGCTGACAAGAGGGAAGGCCAATGTCCAGGCATAGTCATCCCTAATTTAGCAATGCTGACAAGAGGGAAGGCCAATGTCCAGGCATAGTCATCCATAATTTAACAATGCTGACAAGAGGGAAGGCCAATGTCCAGGCATAGTCATCCCTAATTTAGCAATGCTGACAAGAGGGAAGGTAAATAATGAACAACAACCGCCGTCTCCACGACTATTTTTAATGGAGTAACGGGAATGACTGCTCGAATCTTGGACTTTTCGTTCCGTAGACCGGCACGCTAACCTATTTGGTATTTGATATATTTTCTTAACGAGTTGTATCTGTAGAAATAACTTTTAAGAAAAGTAAATCATACGGTTACTTTAATTTAGGGGTGCTTGACTTCTAGCGCCCCTACCGGTTGCTTACGGAATTTACATTTAAACCAACTCATTAGAGAGCTTGACTCGCTATCTGAGGGTCGCGGGTTCGAATCCCCGTCCCACTAAACATGCTATCCGCCGTGTCCACCGAGGGGAATCGAACCCCTGATTTTAGCATTGTAAATCCGAAGACGTACCGCTGTCCCACAAGGGGACTTCAACCGTGGGAACATTATAATGTGACTGTCAATCCCACTAATCGTTGGTAAAAGAGTAGCCCAACAGTTGGCGGTGGGTGGTGATGACTAGCTGCCTTCCCTATAGTCTTTCACTGCTAAATTAGGGACGTCTAGCGCAGATAGCTGTGAGCGAAATTCAAAACAAACCAAACCAAACAATTTCCTTACTCCTGCACATTGTACTACTAGTGACCTCTAGTGAGATGTTGAGAGTAACATTGGTACTTGTTTTTTAAGGTCACAAACTGAAAACTGTCTTAACGAGCCAGCTAGCAGCTACACGAGTTCGTATTTTTATTTTCTCTGTTAGCATCTTTTGTTCCTACTGTGAGAAATGTCTCGCTAATTTTAAGCTCAGAATGGACTTCCGGTAGAGAGCGTGTATAAGAGTACTTTAACGAGCACTTTAAACCGCACCATGTCTGTTGGGCGCCGCTGTTGACGAAATATTGAACGAAAGACTTCGCCTACAGTTACATTCAATAGTTTGAAAGGTAGACAGTTGTAAAGATATTATGTACACTTCTTGGACGCTGGTTGGCCCTAGCGAGTCTTGTTTAATCCGTGTAATACCACAAAATATTACCCGTATTTTCAGCTGTGGGTGCATTATAAAAGTGACAGTCACTCCCTTAGCGTGGATGGTGGGTGTGTAGGTGCTGCTGGCTGGCTGCCTTCTTTCTGATCACTAGTTCGTAGCTTTGCCGTAAATACAAATATACGCTTCTTCCTGGAAGCCCATTATAAAAATAAAAAATTATAAAAACTGCAAAAATAAATAATGATGGGATTAAAATTATTATTAGCATTATTATAATTTATGTATATATAAACAAAAAGCAAGCTAGCTACATGGATCGGAACGAAAAATTAATCCAAAATCATAAAACTCCAGCTAATAATGATTAAAATATCACCCACATTTCACTATCAAATCTCATGTTTGGATAATGTATTCTACACGTTAAAATATCACACGCACGTTTCTTTGTTTTCTAGGTCGTTGAAGGACTACGTGAATCATCAAGACTTTCATTCGATTACGTGATGTTTGTTATTCTAGCCAGGTGAGTTGCCACACTATTATAGACGGTATTTACGTGATGTTTGTTATTCTAGCCAGGTGAGTTGCCACACTATTATAGACAGTATTTACGTGATGTTTGTTATTCTAGCCAGGTGAGTTGCCACACTATTATAGACGGTATTTACGTGATGTTTGTTATTCTAGCCAGGTGAGTTGCCACACTATTATAGACAGTATTTACGTGATGTTTGTTATTCTAGCCAGTGGATTTGCCACGCTATTATAGACAGTATTTACGTGATGTTTGTTATTCTAGCCAGGTGAGTTGCCACACTATTATAGACAGTATTTACGTGATGTTTGTTATTCTAGCCAGTGGCTTT